ATTTATTCCTCCACAAAGTCAAATGAAATGCAAATTTTATAAGTAGAAGTGTATAAAAAAGTTAAAAACAAGTATTTATATACTATTTTTATTAAACTATATTTTTCCCATTTTTAGCATGATTTGTTTTAATATTTTAAAAATAAAACTAGTAAAATTTCATCATCTAATAATCTAATAAATAACTGAAAAAAATTGAACCCATGCAAAAAATACACATTTACAGTTGTTCTCATCCTTATGAAGATTTTAATCATTTTTATCTTATTTTTATTTTAATGCTTTGTAAAAGTTGAATCTTATACCTTATGAAAAGATTAAGTTTGATATCAGTATTATTTAGCGTTCAACTTCCTAATATTTTTTAAAATTTATTGTAAAGTTTGCTAAAATTGCTTATATCTCTTTAAAAAAAAATCAAGGGATATGTTTTTACTGCTTTGTTGCACGTTGATTATTTTTGTTCTTTTAACAAAAATAAAACATATTTTGATTCTTTTTAGAAATTATTAAATTTTTTAGTTGTGAGAAAATTATTTTAGTAAAATTTAATAATGATTAAATTTTTTAGATGAGATTGAAGACCCTTTATTTTTTTTTTATTAAGTTGCTGTGATAAGTCATATTTACTTATTAAATGACTGTATGCAAATTGAAAATTTGCATTTATTTTTTTTTCACTGTCCTGCAGGATTAGGTACTCCTTGTATTTATCAAAATTTATGCATGAGTTAAACCACAATACATAGGATGATGCCTCTCTGTTTAGAGTATTATTGGTGCAATATTATATATATATATATATATATATATATATATATATGTGTGTGTGTTAGGGTTTCTCTTGTTTTTGAAAGGCATGTTGAAATTGAATTGTCACCCCTAAATTTCTTCTACTCATTGAAAAATGCCACATATAAATGTTAAGGAGATTCCATAATATTTACATGGCACCTTTCATTGTTAAAAAATAGACCCTTTTTTATTTTATAATTAATAGACAACCATTATTAGTTGAATCTTTATAAATTCTACACATTAGAAAACTAGAAATATTTTTTATCTAAAAGTGAAAAATTTAAATTTTAACCAATGTTTATTATTTTCAGACCCTAATTATGGCAAGTGGATCCAATGCCAAACAGAAAAGTGTAGTTTGGAAGTGTTTTTTTTTTTAAGATTTCTGATGATATCCAAAGTAAAGAAATATTTCAACTGTAGTGATGTACTTAAGTGATTTACATAAAGTTCTTGTTATTAAAGTTTTAACAACTGTAGGTGCTGAAAATAATGAATTTTAATCATTGTAGGTATTGGAATCAGAAAAAATATTGGTATTGTTCCATCAATAGCGTGTGCATATACATATATATATATATATATATATATTTATATTAATCAATTCACCTTAAGCAAAGCTGGTTGGTTGGTTGGTTGGTTGATTTTAGTTAGCAGCAAATTAACCTCTATGGGTTATTTAATTCTGAAATCTAAATATTTTGAATGCTATTGTATGCCTTCAACTACAACTGGAAATAAAATATATTGTTGCTATAAATTATGTATTGTTGGTCAGAGTCTGCTATAAATATTACTAGTACTTCTACCACAAAAATGTATTTTTATACTTTCATTGTATTATGTTTAGGGATTCACTATTTGCTTATAGATGGGACCCTAACAGGTGCTACCACCTCAGGTCTGAACCTGGGAACCTCAGCAATTAAAAGGTGGTTCCATGCTCCTCAAAACCTTCAGCATTCTGATCAAAGTTCTTGTCACTGGATATAGTTTATCATCATAGTCAGGAATATCCAAGCAAGGCAATAAAGTCACTAGGATGTAAAAAGTGTTGGAGAATATGAGAAAAACTGCTATTAAGGAGAGAGGACAATTTATATAGCATTTAAATTTTTGAAGATCAAACTTGACTGAAATGCAAGGAGCCGGAAGTGAGTTCTACAAGTGAGAAGTGTGAAAGAAGAAGCTGCTAGCATAGAACTTACCATTAGATCAAACCATTTCAACTGCAAAATAAAGAGACCTTGCCACCAATTTAGTACTAGTGTTTAATTTCATAAAGTCTAGGAACCATTGGGGAAACAATTACCACAAAAATATTTTATAGAAAAGGTGCAGAGAAGTTACATGTAAATGATAGAAAAGGGATGTGAATGTGAGATGCCAGGTCAGGAATTGCAGATTCTTCTTTGGATTTTATCAACAATATCTAATATACCAGAAGCACCAAACCAGATGTGGAAGCAACATTAAAAGCAAGGATGAATAGTAGAATTATAAATATGCAAAATAGATACTGGCAAGAAAAATTGTTTAGCACGATATAGTGAACCAACTTTCTTAGCTGCAGATTTAGCAATTGATTCAATAAAATCTTTCCACTTCATTTTAGGCCCAAAACATTATATAATCCTGTTATTCCAGTCAAGTTTGCTTTAATCCTTAATCAAAAACATTCTATTTTTTTCTCACTTTCAGTGTACAATAAATAAACTGTCTAAACTTGCTAAGATAAATTTAAATTCAAAATCTGCAAAATTCAGTTTTTAATCATCACTTTTTCTCTGCCAGAAATATATAATTTATTAAAGTAGATATTGAATAAAATGTCAGGTAATAGAGATCAAGTCAATGGGAAAGCAAAGCCCAATTCTTGACAACATTTCATTTGTTCAAAAGTACAGTGAATACTAAAATATACTCATTTCACCCAAGTTTTCTGTGTAACTACATAGATTCAATGAAAAATGTATACATATCTTATAAAAAACCCATTACTAATCCTTTGTATATGCACCCTAAATCTAATCATCCTCCATCTATAATTAAGCATATATCTTTATCTATCGAAAAAAGAATAGGTACAGATTCAGCAAAATGAGAAAATTTTCTATGAATATATTAATTTCTATAATGAAGCTCTAAAACATAGTGGCTACAAAAGCCCCCAAAACTAACTTTCATAAAAAAATGAAAAGGGAAAGCAAAGAAAAAACAGAAGCAGAAAAATAATTTGGTATACACTCCCATACAACCAAATGGTTAAGAATAAATTAGGACAAAAATTCCTTACATTAATCGTTAAACATTTTCCTAAAGATAGTAAACTCAGTACTATTTTCAATAAAAATATCCTAAAATTAAGTTACAGCTGTACTGAACACTTAGAAAAAATTATTAAGAAACATAATGCTAATATCTTGAATAAACACTTAGACAAAGACCAAAGAAATTTAGACAGTATAATAATAAAAAGAGATGAAGATAAACAAAAATTATGTAACTGCAGAAATCCTCATAACTGTCCTCTTAATAATAAATGTCGCACTGAATCATTAGTATACCAATGCAATATCTCATCTAGTGAGGATCCAGACAATGTAAAAGTTTATATTGGATGCACAAGGCATGAGTTCAAAAAATATTCAATCAACATTAAAGTTCTTTTAGTATAAATAAATACCGGAATCAGACGTCCCTATCAAAATATTTCTGGCACTTAAAAGAAACCAATAAAGCACCTACAGTAAAATGGAAATTAATAAGAAAAGATAGAATATGTAGGTCATTAAATGACCCATGTCCTTTGTGCATACATGAGAAACTATATATTACTAGGTTTATAAAAAATAAAAATTTACTGAATTAATGAAATGAAATAGCTATTCTTTGCCGACATTGTCAAAAATTTTCCTTAAATAATGTTTAAAAAAAAAAAACTGATAAAAGAAATATACATATTTATATTTGATATTTAATAATAATCTTTAAATAATTTAAGTAATTCTAGTTCACTTATTTGCTTTAAAAAGAAGTACAGTCTGTTAGTAATTAAAATTAAAAAATATCTTAAAATTGTAGTTCAATATAGCGTATTCTAATCCAAACACCCCTTTTAGAAAGAATCTTTATGTATACAAATAAAAATTTAACAGAAAAAAATGCCAAAAAACTTTTTTGTCATTGATAAAAAACAGTCAACATGCATTGAATGGATGTCATAATTCATTGAAAAAGGCACCCCTACCCTACCTAGACTTAACCTCTTTTCGAAAGTAACTCATATTTGAAACAATAGTCATCAGTATAAATAAACATGCTACTGCCCTTTGTCAAAATGATTGGATTTCACAGTATCTTTGGAAACAACTATTATGTACGTATGTGCTTATAAAACTTTTTCACTGTCATTAATTTGGCTAAAATTGTTCTGATATATAGAAATGTATAGATCCTATTCAGATATAAAATTTTATTTTGGGTTTTAATTTTTTATGTAAATTTAATATAAACTGATCCCCTTGTGGACATCCAAACAAATATGCTCATATGGTGTTATTTCAAAAATAAATAAATAAATAAAAAATTTGAAATACTTAGCATCAAAAAGAGACAGCTGAAATGAGAAAAGTGGGCTTAGAAAATTTAACACTTACAGGATTTATTGAAGATAAGAGTGACAGATGAAAGCCTTGAATAACCTACTTAATGAACTTGTGTAAATGGTTGGCAGAACAGGTATTAGAAGAGATAGCAAAAAAACAAACTTTGCTAAGAGCTTCAAAGGACAGGAAATTGTAGAGAGCCATGATTGCCTATATCCTAGTCAGAGATGAACCCGCAATTCTTTTTTCATATATTACTATTGATTAGGTACTCCACATTATAAATTTAAAAAAAAATGTTTTACATTTGAAGATAGATTGATTTGTTTTTTTACAGCTTATCAACTTTTGCAGGGTATTTAAAGCCAGAAAATATTTTTTAGATTCTAAGAATTTTTAGATGATAATAATGATTTACTGATACAAATCCTACTAATTAACCCATGGCTGGGGGTAGATGAGGTGGATTAATACCTTTCCCAAGTGTATTTGCATGTGAGTGAATATAACAAACCCAACAGTGATCGAAATTGGGCTCATTGATTTCGAATTCCGAGCTGTTATCCATTACACCATCTGCACATCCAAGCTTAAAGCACCTGGTATTCCTAAGCAGTCACCCATCTATGTACTGACCTGGCTCAACGTTGCTTAACTTTAGTAATTGGATGAGAACCAGTGTCTCAATCTGATATGTCTGTAAACTAGTTAAGACAAGAATTAAACATTTCATACATATAAGCAGATACTGGCACTGTACAATCTTCCTAATATCAAGAACTTGTTTTCAAGTTTGATATTGTATTGACCTCCTTAACATTATTTCAATTTTAGCATTAAAGATTCATTTTGTTAATATTTTCTGCAAAACCAATTTTAAATTGGATTCTTTCTTTGTACATTTGTTCAAAACCTCATTTTGTGTAAACATTTTATTTTTTTTTTCTCAGGGGGAAGACAGGGATTTCTAGAAAGGATTAGCTATTTCTCTTCTTATGTACAAACAAAAAATTGGGAATAACGAATTCCATCTATTTTAAAACTTGAAAATTAATGGCCAACACAAGCGACTATAAAAAAAAAACAGAACAAAAATGGCCACTGGAGTTTAAGACCATCTTGGTTTCTTTTTTCTTATTACCATAACAGTTATTTTTTTTCTCTTTCTATTTAAAGTTTCATTTGTCTATTTCCATTTTATCTATTTCTTACCCTCTGGCATAAGCCCAGAATATTTTTTTTCTTCAAATATCAAACATTTTTATAAAGTTTTAGAAACTTTTTCTTATTGGAATAAATTTACCTGTTGTTTTTATGAAGTGCCATGTTATTTGTGTTTAGATTTCTGCTTAATCATGTTAAAATGCAAGCCCATTACTTTATCATCAATTTTCACTGGTGTGGGTAGAGGCATATTTATTCTTGGCTGTGCAATTCTTAATCTTTTGATGTCATAAAAAATATGTCATTCTGCTTTCTCAGTTAAATACTCAGCTTTTTTGCATATACATGTTGGTTCATTGATTTTGTTTAGTGGCATATCAACACCTCTATGGGTCATTTAATATTGAAATCTAAATATTTTGTACATAATTTTATACTCTCAGAGTAAAAGGTATGTTTTTTAGATATATAGTTTATAGATCATAAAATGTATTGTTGGTAAACTTATAATGTAATTGTATTGTTGGTCATATATATTGTTGATTTTTGTTTGGCTGTTTACTATTTGCCTATAATTAGGATCCTAACAGGTGCTACCATCCCAGGTCAGGGTGGATCTGGGAACAGCAGCAATTAAGAGGTGGTTCCTTCTCAAAATCTACAATCTCCTTGCTGCTGGATGTAGCATAACCAGGAACTCATATGTCACCAAAGATGCTGGAAAAATCATTGGTTCCTTGTACTGCTTCAGAAAGTACTTAACTCCTCTTGAAATGCTTTATCTTTACAAGAGTCATATCAGAGCAAAAATGGACTATTGCAGCCATACCTATCTGAAAAAATGGACTAGAGCAGCCATACCTGAACTGGAACTGCCCAATCCTTAATTTCCAACCTTGATAGAGTTCAAAATAATTTATGCAGGTTTTTAAGGGATGACTTATTTTCCACTTTACAGTCCCTTTTCTCACAGATGAAATATCACAAAATCCAATCAGTACTTTATCAGTATTTCTATGGCAAATGTTCAGATGAGCTCCATTCTTTAGTTCCAACAGTTCAAATCTTTATAGCTAAGACCCACCATGCAACATCCACAGGAGTGAATCACTCTCATTCTCTTTGTATTCTATTTGTAAGGAGGAAGTTCCACTCACAATTTCACCCTGAAAACCACACATTTGTGAAACAGACTCCCATGTGGATGTTTCCCCAACAATCTTAACCTCTTCATCTACAGAAGCAATCATTTTCTGTTCTCCATATCTTCATAATCTTCATTTCTTTTAACTGCCTTCATTTACAGCCATACCACTTATCTCATTCAGTAAGATTCTAGCTTGAGTTGCTCTTTAGCCTTGTGAAGATTAGCAAAAAAAGACAAATGAGCTTTGTCTGGCAAAAGGCCATAAATTAACTATCATTACAGTAGTTTGCAAGATTAGCTTTGTTATAAACACACATATGGTAGTACAAGAGAACAAATGAAAGACTGATGAGGGGAAAAGAAAAAGAATTGTAATGATGAGTTAGAAGACATTGTCAAAATGCAAGGTAAATAACACAAACAGAATGAATAAATTTTGTAATGAAAAGAAAAAAAAGGTAAAAAAGAATGAAACAGTAAGAATCATGAAAACAAGCAAACAATATAGTTAAAGCAAATCAAATAGGTAAGAAGGCAAAAGAATTCACAAACTATAAGGTAGTGTTTGTACACAAAAGCAAGATTGGACACGTGAACGCAGTAGGTCTGTCTAGTAGTCATGTCAAAACACAAGCCATCCCATTTTATTGGCTGAGAAAAATATCCCAGCATGCATTTTGTATATTTCTGACTAAAAGAGGAAGAGGGGGAAACTTTTTCAATCATTCCCCACCCCCTTAGGAAATCAACATGTTAAGATAAAGTTCTTTCTATTGCCGATATAGAGGATCAAGGCCAAATGTATCTTTGTGGGTGAGGGAAGCAACTTGGAGGATGAAGAGAGTCAGTAGGGTCTGGAGTTGATGCATGTGTCAGGTCAGTTGATCAAAGTCACTGGTGTTGAAAGCTTGCCTGCTTGCCATGATTCTGCTTTTATGGTTGTGAGTGGCATCTTTAAAGGGAGATAGGATAGATCATGGCTCAGCCTTTTTTTTGTTATGCTTTTGCTTGAGCATTAATGTTCATGACTGGCTCCTTTTATATTATACTAGCCGAATTACCTGTACCTTGCTGTGTGTTACACATTTTTTTTGTAAGAAAATGATGATTGATTTTAAATCATTGTTATAATTTGTGGAGAAAAAAATGATGCATTTCAATATTACTCAATGATTTTGCCAATGTGACCTCCATCTTCTGGTTTTCTCCTTCTATATTTTGGCTAGGAGTCATTACAATGTTCAAACTTAATTTAATTTAAATCAAAGGGAAAAAATTTTCGGGGGCAGGGTGCCACCCTGGGACCCCCTTTGATCAAAATAAAATTATACTTATCCAATTACTGAGGGTTATGTAGTTTTAGAATATATATGCATCTCCAAAACCTGAAGAAAAGTTTGATAACAAACAGGCAGACAGAGACTACAACTTTATATATATATATATATATAGATAGAGAGAGAGAGAGAGAGAGAAAGATTTCATATTTCTTTTGGAGGGGATTTGTGAGCTGGATGTGATGTTCATAGCTCCTGTGCAGAAAGTGTCCATTTTATTTTTGCCTTCTTAATATTCATATCCAACATCTATCTTGATTGAATCAAAAAGAGAAATTTGAAGCAGAGCATAACAACTTGGTCATAGTTCCTCCATACTGAGGGTCTTTTGAATATAGACTGATCACAGATTAGCAAGGATCATTGGATTTTTCACATCAAAGAATAATCAACTGCAATGACTAAGGCTTGAACTTGATACATGTTAGCTTATTTTCTGGGTCACAATCAAGAAGATCAATATATAATTTCAATAGACAAGAGATTCATCTTTTCAGTAAATGTCTCTCTATACTCCCAGGTTTTTGCATCAACTGTTAATGGAAACAAAATGGAGTATAAATGGACTGAAGATGTTATCAAATATTTCTTCAAATATCAAAGTTAAAATTATGACTCCCATGCATAATCCTCATAAAATTGAACAGATGAGTAGATGTAATAAAAATGATTAAAAAAGCAAGTGAGGCTCAATTTGGTTACTAAAGTGTCAATCAATGTTCACTGAATTTCCTAATAAGGAATTGCATGAGTTTTGTCTATATTACAAGTTTAAATAGAAAGGATAACAATGATGTCTGCCAAATAATAGAAGATATTATACGAAACAAGATATTCTTAATCAATTCTTCATAATACTTTATATTTTTCTGCATATAAACTATCATTTTAATTAAGGTTTCCTTATTTCCACATGGGAAAAAGATTTTAATGCATGGATCATAAAGTTCATAGTCTTAAGTAGTTATTAGCAGAAATTTGATCTCAAAGTGTCCATGTATAATGTTTAAGCCATATGATTTATGAAGAAACATTGGATTCATTGCTTTGGCAAAGAAGATTATGTTGAAAAATATTTTCAGTATAAAATAAATGATTTCTTCATTATTAGGTTATGGACTTATTGATGTAGGGAAACAACAGCCATTTTCCTCTATTGGCAGATCATATTATTTTGAGACAGTTAACTGATCCTATATGGTTTGTCTTCATGTATAAAGATTAAGGAGTGTTTTCCATGATGGTGGACTAGCCTTCATGACTTTTAAGGTAGAAAACAGAATGCATATTACTGACACCATCTGTTAAACCAGGAGATTATATGCCATGAGGTGAAAATCTGACAATCTGTCTTTTGGTTGTAGTGCTTCTGTTGGAATTCCCTTCTCCTAGGTGGAGGACTGTGTTGAATATTTGAATATGCCACCCCACTAAAGGACTATCTGGTTTTAGCATCACTGCAAAATTGTAGTCTCTTACGTTTTAACCTAATCTCATAAGTTCTTTATCACCTCATATCTCATTAAAATTTAGATGATAATTGCAAATTTATGGATATAATAAAGAGTTATTTGTGTAATTCTACAAAATTATAATAATGACTTCAAAAACAAATGGGAAGATGTAGATACAACTCAAAAAGATGGCTAAAAACAGTTGATGTAAAATCTGAGACTATATATATATATAATATATATATATATATATATATATATATATATATATATATATATATATATATATATATATATATATATATATATATAATTATTTAAAAAATAAAAAAATAATTATAATTTATGCTCTACTTCTGTATGGAGCACTGTTTTTTAAAAATATAAACAAAAATACTAAAGAACTTTGGATTATTTACCTAACGTGTTCTTTTTCCTATTTTTCTACATACCTCCACATACATACATACATACATGCATATATATATATATATATATATATATATATATATATATATATCAAGTATGGATATGAATCTGACAAAATGATAAGATAAAGAACAAGTAGGAAACATGCTTCAATTAATAAAGCTT